CTCCATAAGAAGTAAAGAACTCCATAGGACAACTAGAACTCCATAGGACGTCTAGAACTCCATAAGAAGTAAAGAACTCCACAGGACGACTAGAACTTCATAGGACGACTAGAACTCCATAGGACGACTAGAACTCCATAGGACGACTAGAACTCCATAGGACGTCTAGAACTCCATAGGACGACTAGAACTCCATAGGACGACTAGAACTCCATAGGACGTCTAGAACTCCATAGGACGTCTCGAACTCCATAGGACGACTAGAACTCCATAGGACGTCTAGAACTCCATAGGACGACTAGAGCTCCACTGGACGTCTAGAACTCCATAGGGCGACTAGAATTCCATAGGACGTCTAGAACTCCATAGGACGTCTAGAACTCCATAGGATGTCTTGAACTCCCTATTCATTTTATAGAGCAAGTCTTTGGGGTAGTCCTATTTGTACCACATGTGGACAGGTCCCGGGAGAGTTCAAACATGTCATCTAGAGATGTCCAAAGTTGGTAAGATATTGGAAGGAAGTTGCTGAACATATAAATGTTATTTTTATAAACAAATGTTTTATGTAAATCCATATTCATTAATTTGGGGGCACCAAGAGCTTCTAGATAATCAAACAAGTTTGTGAGGTGGACACTGCTGAGAGAACAATGTGTGGTGGGGATTTAAACTCTGATGACAAAAGGAACGTCTCTACCAGGGTGTAGGTACCACTGAGAGAACAATGTATGGTTGGTTTGTAGACATTGATGATAAAGGAACATCTATACCAGGGTGTAGATACTACTGAGGGAGCAATGTGTGGTGGGGATGTAGACACTGATGATAAAGGAACGTCTCTACAAGGGTATAGGTACTACAGAGAGAACAATGTATGGTTGGGTTGTAGACATTGATGATAAAGGAATGTCTCTACCAGGGGGTAGGTACTACTGAGGGAGCAATGGGTGGTGGGGATGTAGACACTGATGATAAAGATACATCTCTACCAGCGTGTAGGTCCTACTGAGAGAACAATGTGTGGTGGGGATGTAGACACTGATGATAAAGGAACGTCTCTACCAGGGTGTAGGTATCACTGAGGGAACCATGTGTGGTTGTAGACACAGATAATAAAGGAATATCTCAACCCAGGTGTGGGTAGTACTGAAAGAACAATGTACTTCCTGGGAGTTTTCAGCACTTTGGTGCACAGTTCTGGAGGATACTGGATTGAATAAGAGTCCTTTCTAGTAATGAGCCAATCTGGCTGGGTTCCATTCACTCTGGGTTTGGTGAATCCAATAAAAAATTCAGAGAAACCAAACTTGGAGGCGAACTCCAAGTCTATAGCATGGTGGGGTGGGGGATCTTGTTAGTTAGTCAGGGCCATTTTTTCTGCTTTAAATATTTCGAGGAGTAAGAAGAACTGGTAATGCTATGCCTTCCGCAGACTTTGATGGAGCCTCTTTCTCTGAGTTCCCTGACGTAGCCAGAGAGACTTCGAAACGTTGTAGTTTGCTGTGCCCGCTCCTTGATAAGCTTTGCCGATATTCGGTATTGCTGGGGGTTCCCCTATTGCCTGATTGCTCGCTCCTTCCTTCTCCGATTCCCCAAAGAGCTGGAAGCTTTCTAATCTCCACATTGATGCTCCAGACCTACCAGGCTGACCTGATACCTCACCAACCTTCTCCAAACTACCAGAACATCAATGGTGGAAATCTTCCAAGAATCAAGGTTCCGACACTGGAGATCCCTCCAAATGTGTTACTTTCTATTCATTGTGTTTAGTTTTCTAGAAATAAACCAATCCCCCCCCCTAACTGGAGGAATTATCTATCTATCTATCTATCTATCTCGCATCACAAGGTAGCGGGCAAATTATAAGACAAAAACATAAAAAGCAGTTTTTACATTCTCCACAAGGTGGCAATCTCAGTGTGTGAAATAGACAGGAAGTGATGTAAGGTACAGACAGGAAATGATGTTGGGTACAGACAGGAAGTTCCAGGTGAGAGGTCAGAGGAGGTAATAAGACATTGTTTTGTATTTACATCTTGTAACTCTCCCATCATGTCTGTCCTCGTCCTCCATATTCACTGTGACATCTTTTATCTTCAGAAAAATATAGAACCATTTATCCAACTGTCCATCCAGAGCCGCCATTTATATACCGGATACATCCTAAATATAGAGCCATTTATTCATCTTCCATGAAGCTGTCTCGGGGTTGTTGGCTCTCATCTATAATGGACACCAGGTCTTCTCTGGAGGAGGATATGGAGTTCTAATTAAGGCAGCAGAAGGAATGATCATCCCTACACGAAATAGAATAAGGGATAACGATCCTGATTTTTCCTGACAATGAGAACAAAGGATCAAGAATTAGAATGACGACATGTCGGCACCTTCATTCCCGTTTTTTAGTATTTCTTCTTTCACCACCAGCACCAGTCCTAATGAAGAGGGAGTAGGGAGCCCACAAAATGTGTTGGCTTTACCCCCTGAACTCTACTTGAACCTGTGGAACTCTCACCCTTCACACTTCGTTTGGATTGGAAGCACTTTGCTATATCTGTACAATAAGTGCAAATAATACCCCTTGATAGTGCCAGAAATCTTGTCAGCTGATAAATTCCTGTGCTCTCTGCCCGTGCTGCACTCTTATCAGTTCCATTGTTCCCAGTTATCTCTGAGGATACGTTCTGGAGAAGAGGAAAGTAGTCCTATCCTTGCATGATAAATATGACCCATGATATAGTATAGGAAGCAGTCTGAGGTGTGAGGACTCTGGAGGAACTCTGTGTAGACATTATTCATCCCTGGACAGTCCAGATCATTCTCACTTTATTATCCATCTACAGAGAGTAGAGTACTGTATGGATCACATGACCACATCAAAAAGAATGGAGAAGGATTGGAATCACATGACTGAAAGGTTATTAGACCTCACCCTGGAGATCATCTACCTGCTGACCGGAGAGGTGAGGAGGATTCTGGGAGGGTCACATGACATCAGATTTATTTTTGTAGGGTAAACACAGGCCTCACTAGAGAGGCGAGGAGGATTCTGGGAAGTCTGTAGTGGTAATTGTTATTTTCTCTCTTTACTCAGAATTATACAGTAGTGAGGAAAACATCTGATAAACCATTAACACCCAACAGATGTCTTGATGGGACATCACCCATCACAGAGCCTCCACCTCACTGCCTGACAACAGAGATCAACAGGGCCAAGAAGATTCTAGAAGTCACCCAGAAGATCATCAAGCTGCTGACAGGAGAGGTGAGCGGTGCCGGGAATTCTGGGACATGATCCAGGAACAGACAAGGGATGTGTCTGGATGGTGACTGTATCATTGTGTGTGTCAGGTTCCTATAAGGTGTCAGGATGTCTCTGTCTATTTCTCCATGGAGGAGTGGGAGTATCTAGAAGGACACCGGGATCTCTACAAGGACGTTGTGATGGAGAATGAGCCGCCCCTCACATCACCGGGTAAGAGGAGAGAGCAGTACGGAGGGTCCACCTAGATCCCCCATCATCTGATACACACATAGAAACAATGTATTCAGTCAGTGTGTGTGTGTTTCCTACAGATGGATCCAGTAAGAGGAACCTACCAGAGAGATGTCCCCGTCCTCTGTATTCCCGGGATTCCACACAGGAAGATCTCACCATCCCCCACCAGGATCAGGTATATTGGACTGAGGACGTAGACCTAAAAATATGTTGTAAACAAACTAAGGACATTCTTCTTGCACGTTTAAATAAACGTGTTCCATTATGTTTCGGGCTTAGGGTGAAGAACTGGAAGACATCAAAGTTGAGGTTAAAGAGGAAGAAGAAGAGACGTTGGTGAGTGGAGCTCAGCAGTCTATGGAGGAGGGGGAGATGATTGTGAGAAGTAAACAGGAGGAATCTTCTCTACATATGGACACAAGTAAGTTATAAACACTAAATGCAGAAACAGTTCACATTTTTATTTCACTTCTATGAATATAAAATGTGTATTTACATAATTTCATGGATTGATAAAAGAAAATTTTCCATCAAGTTCACCCACCAAAGAAAATTTAAAACCCGCAGTTCATCCAGATGAAGGCAAAACACACATGTAAAGCTTGGCCAAATGATATCCAACAAGGTCCATCTCCATTCCTCAATATAACGTCATGTCCCCAACAAATGAGGAGGAGATACTGTGAACCATATGAAGGTCCATCTCCATTCCTCAATATAACGTCATGTGACCAACAAATGAGGAGGAGATACTGTACACCATATGAAGGTCCATCTCCATTCCTCAATATAACGTCATGTGACCAACAAATGAGGAGGAGATCCTGTACACCATATGAAGGTCCATCTCCATTCCCCAATATAACGTCATGTGACCAACAAATGAGGAGTAAGAGATACTGTACACCATATGAAGGTCTCTCTCCATTACCATGAGCTCTGACATACTGTTAGGTTCTAGAACAACATATATGACTTAATGGAAGACATGGAGAATATTTATAACATTTGTTTAAAACTTTCTTCCCAACAGATGGAAGACATGTCTGGAATACTACGGAGAGACGTCTTATATTATCTACAGGTTGTTATGAAGAAGATGATGACATCACACAACATTCTCCAGGAGTGAATCCGATTACTCATAATAGACATCACAGACCTTCCCATTCAGAGCCATCAATGGATCCGTCTAATCCTGAGGAATCTTCTGATCAATCACAGACTGTTACTCCAGATATCCATCTGAGATCTCACAATAGAGAAACATCAACCTATCCGTCTAATCCCGAGGAATCTTTATGTTATGGAGTTCACACGGGAGAGAGTTCATTGTCAAGTTTGGTGTGCGGGAACATTGCATTTGTTAGACTGGAGGAAAGTAACACAGCCGAGTATCCCTATTCATGTTCAGGGAGCAGGAAACATTTAATTCAAAAAGGAAACGTTCTAATCCACAGGAGGAATGACATGAGTGAGCATTTTTTTTCCTGTTCAGATTGTGGGAAATGCTTCAGTCGCAAAGAAAAACTTGTTGTACACCAGAGAATTCACACAGGCGAGCGTCCTTATTCGTGCTCAGTGTGCGGGAAAAGTTTCAGCCGTAAAGAAAAACTTGTTGTACACCAGAGAATTCACAGTGACGAGCGTCCTTATTCCTGTTCAGAGTGCGGGAAAAGTTTCAACGAGCAAAGAAATCTTACGTTACACCAGAGAATACACACTGGTGAGCGTCCTTTTTCCTGTTCAGAATGCGGGAAAAGTTTTACTCAGAACAGTATACTACTTAGACACCAGATTATTCACACGGGTGAAAAGTCTTTTTCATGTTTGGAGTGCGGGAAACGTTTCACTAGGAAAGGAAGTCTAGTCGTGCACCAGAAAATTCACACTCGGGATGGCTCTTTTTCATGTTGAGAGTCCGGGAAATATTTTTGTGACTTTATCCTGGAGATGGGCTTGGAATCTTAGGGACGAAATGAACATAAGAGTGAAAGCGAGGAAAGCAACAATAGAGATGCATTTGTGGGAATGTCTGGCACTACAACAATTCCATGACTTCAGCTGTATCTCCTTTTTTAATCGTTCCGTTATTTAATTTTAGAGTAAATGGAGATAAAACATTTTTTGTCATTTCAATTGAATAACTGCTACCATATATGTGTGTGTGTATATACAGTATATATATATACTGTGCTTTTTTATGCATATTATGATGTTCTATTGCAAATTTCAGGTTCATTCAGTTTATTCCGTAGTTTTAGATATTTATGAATATTATTAAACTATCGATTTATGTTTTTAAGTTATTTTTGTATCATGTAAGTTTGACATTATATAAAGTCCAGGAGCATAATAAAGCGAGCAACATAAAATGAAGAACAAGGCCGTAATAAAATGTTAAAATGTATTGTAAGTGGCAGTTTTAAACCTTCTCCACAAGGTGGCGATCTCAGAGTAAAATGCACAGATAGGAAGTGATGTAATGAACAGACAGGAAGTTCCGGGTGAGAGGTGAATTGGGAGGAGGTAGAGAGGAGACATTGCTGGTACTGGCAGCAGAGGGGGTAATAAGATATTACTTTATAGTTACACCCAGTAACCCCCCCATCATGTCCGCCCTCTTCCACTAGGGTCACTGTTATGTCTTTCATCTCTTCTACACGCACAAATTAATATACTGGGTATATGTTCTGCGACGTGACCTGAATTTTGAGCCATTTTTCAGCGCGCTTGAAGCATGTTTAAACTTTCAAACCATTGTCACTGTAATATGATGGACACCATGTCTCGGGGTTGTTGGTTCTCATCACTGTAATATGATGGACACCATGTCTTGGGGTTGTTGGTTCTCGTCACTGTAATATGATGGACACCATGTCTCAGGCTTGTTGGCTCTCATCACTGTAATATGATGGACACCATGTCTCGGGGTTGTTGGTTCTCATCACTGTAATATGATGGACACCATGTCTCGGGGTTGTTGGCTCTCGTCACTGTAATATGATAGACACCATGTTTCGGGGTTGTTGGCTCTCATCACTGTAATATGATGGACACCATGTCTCGGGGTTCTTGGTTCTCATCACTGTAATATGATGGACACCATGTCTCGGGCTTGCTGGCTCTCGTCACCGTAATATGATGGACACCATGTCTCGGGGTTGTAGGTTCTCATCACTATAATATGATGGACACCACGTCTCGGGGTTCTTGGCTCTCATCACTGTAATATGATGGACACCATGTCTCGGGGTTGTTGGCTCTCATCACTGTAATATGATGGACACCATGTCTCGGGGTTGTTGGTTCTCATTACTGTAATATGATGGACACCATGTCTCTGGGTTGTTGGTTCTCATCACTGTAATATGATGGACACCATGTCTCGCGGTTGTTGGCTCTCATCACTGTAATATGATGGACACCATGTCTCAGGCTTGATGGCTCTCATCACTGTAATATGATGGACACCATATCTCGGGGTTCTTGGTTCTCATCACTGTAATATGATGGACACCATGTCTCGGGGTTGTTGGTTCTCATCACTGTAATATGATGGACACCATGTCTCGGGGTTGTTGGCTCTCGTCACTGTAATATGATGGACACCATGTTTCGGGGTTGTTGGCTCTCATCACTGTAATATGATGGACACCATGTCTCTGGGTTGCTACTTCTCATCACTATAATATGATGGACACCATGTCTCGAGGTTGTTGGTTCTCGTCACTGTAATATGATGGACACCATGTCTCGGAGTTGTTTGCTCTCATCACTGTAATATGATGGACACCTTGTCTCGGGCCTGTTGGATCTCGTCACTGTAATATGATGGATACCATGTCTCTGGGTTGTTGGTTCTCATCACTGTAATATGATGGACACCATGTCTCGGGCTTGCTGGCTCTCGTCACCGTAATATGATGGACACCATGTCTCGGGGTTGTAGGTTCTCATCACTGTAATATGATGGAGACCATGTCTCGATATTGTTGGTTCTTATCACTATAATATGATGGGCACCGTGTCTCTGGGTTATTGGCTCTCATCTATAATGGACACCATGTCTTCTCAGGAGGAGGATATGGAGAGGAAGAAGACTGATCCCCAGTACAAGTTCTAATCGAGGCAGTAGAAGGAATGATCAATCCTTACAGGACATAGCATAAGGAATAAAGCTCCCGATTCTGTTAGACATTGGTCACCTGGACAGGATGCAAAATGAAACTCTCCATAAACCAAAACATTTCAATAAAGTTTCTAATTCTTCAACTGTCAACCTGCACCAAAATAAAAAGGTTTGGTTGATATTTTGTTTCAAAGGCAGTCTTTGGTTTTCTTACAGTGAGATTGATTAGAAAGGTCTAAGAAGCACTCTGAGGTGTCAGAACTGTGGAGGAACTCTGTGTAGACATTATTCATCCCGGAACAGTCCGGATCATTCCCTGTTTATTATTCATCTACAGAGAGGAGCTTCTTATGTATATCTCATGACAGCAAAGAGGATGGACAAAGACCAAACCCATATGACAGAGAGGATATTAAACCTCACCCTGGTCATCTATCTACTGACCAGACAGGTGAGGAGGATTCTGGGAGGGTTACATGACATCAGACATATTTGTATTAATAAAAGACATACCTGACTGGGGAGGTGAGGAGGATTCTGGGAAGTCTTCAATGATAATTGTTTTTCTCAGGATTATAAATGAGTGAAGAAAATATCTGGTGAGCCATTAACACCCAGCAAATGTCTTCATGGGACATCACCCATCACAGAGCCTCCACCTCACTGCCTGAAAACAGAGATAAACATTGTCAAGATTCTAGAGGTCACCAAGAAGATCAATGAGCTACTGACCGGAGAGGTGAGTGGTGCCAGGAATTCTGGGACATGATCCAGGAACAGACAAGGGATGTGTCTGGGTGGTGACTGTATCATTGTGTGTGTCAGGTTCCTATAAGGTGTCAGGATGTCTCTGTCTATTTCTGCATGGAGGAGTGGGAGTATCTAGAAGGACACCGGGATCTCTACAAGGACGTCGTGATGGAGAGTGAGCCGCCCCTCACATCACCGGGTAAGAGGAGAGAGCAGTACGGAGGGTCCACCTAGATCCCCCATCATCTGATACACACATAGAAACAATGTATTCAGTCAGTGTGTGTGTTTCCTACAGATGGATCCAGTAAGAGGAACCCACCAGAGAGATGTCCCCGTCCTCTCAAGATCACACCATCCCTCACCATGATCAGGTAGGTGGGACTCAGCATGTAGACCTAAAACATTATTCCAAGCTATTACATGTTTCCTATGTAAACTCTCCTTTTTTTTAATGAATGTGTTCTATCATCTTTGGGGCTTGGGGGGGGTGATGAAGAGCATTCTAATGTGGGAAGTGTGTTGGCCACTACATGAAGAAAGAGAGAAACCATCTCCCTTCAATGTGTCCTCCTCTCCCGTTTGTCATTTTTATACTTATATCTATTTTTCATCTATTTTTATCCATATATACTTTCACATGGAATAATTAATTACCATACATATGTTCCTTTAGCAGAACTTCACTACCTCTAAGTCTAGTATGCCGGCTGCCTGTTTTTCCTGAAGACTACAGGGTGCTGTCTCCGACGCGATCCCTCCATTTGTGTTTACCTGTGGCGGTTCATGCTTGACAAAACCAATCCCTTGTTTGTATTTGAAGCAGTTTTTCCACTATATTCTCGCTTCCCTGACTAACTGACGGTGAAGACACATATATGTAAGCATTCAACATTTACAATACTTTTACATTTATTGTGATCGAGATTAATGTATGTAAAGCATGATTTTACTTGTGAGACTAAAGTGCAGTTCTCTGATCCTAATTCTATTATATGTGGGCTTATTACTCTTATTCTAGGACACATGTCTCCCATAGAATTGTCTCTCTCCCATGAGGAAGCCCTTTCGGGGCGAAACATGTAGGGACTTACAGGAGCGTTTATACCATTCTGATAACAAACAACCATATACATCGTAACTGCACGGTATCGTCACCATTCGGTGAACCTGCATTTGTAAAAGCATTTTTATTGATGATTTTGTATTCCGTTTTTTTATCTTAAATAATGTATACAACGATTTATTGAATAAATGTACTTCTAAGATTTTTATACACGAGGTCTGGACTTGTTTCTTAAAAGTCCCCTTTTTTCTTATTTTCCCCTCTGGGTCCTTGCACACCCCACTGTGGAAATACTCTTTTTTTTTTTTCTTGCATTTGAAACCTGGTGTGTGAAACTTCCAGCTCCTCTATATGTCTTCTGCAACGCATGTCTACTAATATTATCCCTTACACCATATGAAGGTCCATCTCCATTCCTCAATATAACGTCATGTGACCAACAAATGAGGAGGAGATACTGTACACCATATGAAGGTCCATCTCCATTCCTCAATATAACGTCATGTTCCTACAAAAGGATGTAGCAAAAGGTTCATCTCTCTGAAAGAACTGTTTAGTGCATAGAACAATTGTAAGATAGTCCATAGAACAACTGTAGGGTATAAAAGAATAAGGGTGGTCATCAGGAAGAAGGATTCTCCTTACCTCGATGGTAATCATTTTATAACATTGTCATAATGTCATATATTTATACCATTAAAGTGTGCACTTTATCATTTTGTGCATCAATTTTCCGTTTGAATTGCATTCTTTTGTTTTGCCATAATTATAAATACTAGTCCTCTGTCCTGTCCATCATGTTTTGGTGCAGCTTCCACCATTCACATCCTCCTTTTTTATAAATATAAATTTTTCATTTGAGGTTACAAAAGACAAGTAGCAGGAATACAGAAACATGTAAATAACACAACAGCCATGAGTGCCCATAGTACAAAGAACAACAT